CTGGTGCTTTGCGGTCCAAGCATCTTTCATGGCCTTTGTGAGACTTCCGAAGAAGCTCGATTTCAGAAGAGTCTTTGCAAACTCTTGATCATAAATTCCTTACAAAGAAGAAAAAAGGAAACCGTTTAGTGACATTTTACTGTTTACTCAGTGCAGCAGACTTCCTATGCTAAATATACAACAATTCACCCAAAGAAATACTGAGCGATACCACAAACTAAAGTGTTTAGTTAGGTCTGTTGTCTGTCGACATACGAAAAAAAGTGAGCAGTTTCTATTGGAATCATTTTGGAGGAGTGCCTTTTTTCCTAAATGTAAAATATAGAATAGATACTGCTTGGACTCAAAGAGTAGGTACGACTTTTTTTTCTGTATAAATTATTTGATCGGGCAGTATTATTGATTTGAATGGCTTCGGTGATGCAAAGCACTAAAAGTGAGCCGATACCAACCTTCGTCTGTTTCCATTCCTTTGTAGTTTTGGTTCTTGAGAACATGTACACCCACTTTACAAGCTTTGAAGGGTCTTACATACCCGGTGCGGACTCCAAGTTTCCAATTCTCCACGTATCTATCAAATATTGCACTGTATTTTTCGATAAGTCCCCTCAATGTCTCTAAATCAGCCACTTTAGTTGGTTTGAAATGAGGCAAAGCACTATTTAGGTTTTGAAACACACTGCAAACAGGCTCCCAGCAGAGCAGGTTCGGTCCTAAAAGCCAGTCCCCGCTGTAGTAGTCCTTGTTGTATGGACTCCAGCCGTAGTTATTCAATAGAATGGCACTTGCCATATGAACAGCCTTACGCTCTCTCAGCTTCAATAACTTTTTGTCTATTTTCAGAGCCTTCAGCTCTCCATATAACGCCATGGCTTCATCAGTCCTTCTCTTGATAGAATTCGGGCTTGGATCGTAAGGCTGAAAATGATTTCGGATATTTTCGGGTGATTTCGGACTCATTTCGTGAATCTTCTCAGGGTGAAGCTGTTGAAAGTAGACACGTTTCACTTTATCCAGGATGGCGGCAAGACCACTTCGGGTGGACTCCGCTGATGGGAGGCATTTCGGCTCAAGAGAGGAAGTAACTGCGGCGTCTAAATTCAAAACGCGTTTTTCATCAAGCGTAGTTAAGCACAAGGCAAGCACGAGGTGAACACGAGGCGAACACGAGGCGAGCGCGAGGCGAAAGCGAAGGGCGAGTCTCGCCTAAAGAAAGGAGTGCGAAAAAAATAGTGCTTCCCTCGTACAGTCTCCAAACGCCTGTAAACACACACACACACACACACACACACACACACACACACACACACACACACACACTCTACACTGGGTTAGAATTTGGGATTCGCGACTCGGAATCTTGAATGAGGGTCTCGACCAGTCATGGAGAGCATAACACCGACAGCAGATCATCAAAAAAAAAAAACCTGTAAAACAAAATAAACTTAGACAAAGCCTCGTGCCTGGGTTCTGAAACAAGCTTGTTTTTGATGTGGAACAACTAAGGCGGTTCTATTATCTGAACTTCCTTATAACTGCAGCGTGCGCGTGGAGAGCTAAGGATTTAACTGAAAAATATTCAAAAGCTAAAGGACATAACAAAAAAGTCTTATAAACGACAATAAATAATTTGCCACCTTCATCGATCAGTTTAGTTTCATGAACAAATTTAGACCAGTCGTATATTTGCTTGCTGCAAAAGCACGGCCGGAAAGCAGCGGACGCATATTGCATGGAATCTATCTTTCTTATGAATTGCAATTACCTGTCACAACTGCAAACAGGAGGACTTTTAAACAAAAAAGACGAAGAAGCCACATTTTTGGAATGACCTGAAAGAGATGAGATGCAAAAAGTGAGGGACATACAGGAGGGTGCTGATCGGGTTAACAGTTAACTGACAATTGGCCCAAAAATTAGTAGTTAACTGATAAATGAAAAGTTAACAGGTAAGTGACATTCTCTTATTTTACTGAATATGATTGTTGTTATTGATAAAAGCAACAAAGTTTTTTCCTAGCAGCGATGCTATCTCGCGACATTTACCTGTCCCGCTTTGTGACCCAGTGAAATATTTATTGAATCAGGCAAATTAGTTGTCACGCTACGTGACCCAGTGACATCGTACAAAGCACAAAGGAGTGTTGACTTTGATCTCCGCGATGGCGTCGAGTGGCGTGGTCAAAGTTATTCTGAGTTATTCTGATGGCCAAGGAATGGCATTCGAACGACACAGAGGTCGCGTACCATTTGACATGGATAAGCACAATACAATGGAGAAAGCTTGTAGACATTTAATCGACTTTATAGGAATTAAAGAACAAGTGGTTTTTACTGTACAGGTGATCAGAAATCTTACTCATTTAATGTAAAAGGGCTCGCTACTATGGTAGCAAACTATGGAACTCCCTCCCCAACACGACCAGGTCACTGCCAACAATTGATACTGACTGCTGTCCATTCTGTAAATAATTGTAAATGTTTATCCTATTGTATCAATTACTTAATTGTATATATTGTGCCTTATGTATTTATCTTGTTCTCCATAACTATTTCATTTTATTTGCTATTTATTTTCTCGGAGGTATTAGCATTTTCTTTTGCTATTTTAAATTCGAGATGAAATAAAGGCTTGTTATTATTGTTTTGTTGTTCGGACTCGGCGCGCTTGATTTAAAGTTGTTCAGATTAGAAAAGATCGAAAGAAAGGCTGAAAATTTTGCAATTGTAAAAAAAGGCTCAGCTGGAAATGGAGCTGCCCCTTTTGCTGGGAAGTGCAATATGTGAGCTAATTTTTGTTTTGTCCTTTTGTTTAGAATCTTGTCGAGCAAGCGAGCATTGATTGACCACACGAGCCCGTTTGCATTAGATGAGTAAGATTTCTGAGTACAGTAAAACCTGTACTAAGCACACCCCATAGTAACTGGACACAAGCATCAATAGGTTTCGATTTCTTCCTTCTCGTACTCTCTGTGTACGAACCTGTACCAAGCGGACATCTCAATGATTTTTATCACGCTTTTGGAAGCCATGGAGTGTTTGTATGAGAATCTAGGCAGGGACGGACCAGAGGAAAACAAATTCCCGCGAACGATTTTTTTAAAGACACACTTGACTGCAAGATTTTTTTTCTTCCGTTGCATGAAATTTTTTTTAGGCATAAACGTTTGTAGGATTTATTTAGACAAGTTTCTCTTACAGGGATTTTTTTGGAGAAAAGTCGCCGCCCCGCTCCCCCCCCCCCGGTTATTTCTAATGGTCCGTCACCCGCAGGTGAGACCATCAAATTTTGTCGGAAGATCCCAATAACTTATTACTTATTGTTTTTAAATGGACTTTTTCCAAAAGTTAATCGACGTTTGATTCTCATACAAACGACGTAATTTCTCACGCGGTTGCCTACATTATTATTAGTAGTATTATTATTGAAAATATTGAATTTTGTTTTCATGTCTGCAGTACAGGTCATCTAGGAAAGTCAAGAAGGACTTCAAATGAAACTTCTGTTAGAAAGAAAAGAAAGAGGAGAAAGGAGGCCGAAGAAGATCGTGAAATGATAAAAGACCTGGCCACCGAAAGAAGTACAATCAGAAATGAGAGACAAAAAGAAGTTCTGGTTCTCTTGAATGAAGATAAATAATTACATTATTTCCTTCAATGTCTGTTCCTTATAACTCATATTAGGGGTGAAGGTTATGTAAATTCACATAATTTATACCTTGGTTTTAGGAGAGTCCGACCCCCAAAACTGATTGGCGTGCTGAAAGAAAGAAAATTCGGGTTATGATGCAATATTTTTCGCTGTTAGTTAAATGAAAGTTAAAAGTTAACTTAAAGTAATAGTTAACTGACAGTTGGCCAACAAAGTAGTTGTTAACTGACAATTGACCGAAAAATTAGTAGTTAACTTATAACTGGGTACCCCCATTAGCACCCTCATACAATCCGTACGTCCAACCTATAAGAACGCTTATGAATCCATGGTTGCTAAAAACGTATTCGCTAGTTTCCAGTCTTAAAATAGTCAGTTTGAACTGATGAATAACTGTTCAAAAATGTAACAACATTCTTAAAACAACTAAGAGGATATCAAAGAGTTTCATACCGTTATATCTTATATAGAAAATGTATTTTTTTTTTTCGACTACATGGATTTCATCTTACTGCTTGCCTTTTCGGTTTATTTCTATAATTCCCCATTGAGAGGCCGAAATATTTCTTTTCAAAGATTGAGAATAATAACTTAATTCACATAGACCCTTTTCGACATCTTCTTAGTTTACCAACCGATATGATGTCTTGTCCTCTCTGTCAGACGCCCACGGAAGCTTGAGAGTTTAATAACAAATTCAGATGCTTGTAAGCCTTTATGTCAGTAAGAATATGCTCTGATAAAAGTGACACCTAGACCAGTTGCCCGAAAATTGGTGCCTTAGGCATCTCATCCAATCACATGCGTCAGTTTTTCATGTACCTGTGAGCAGATTCCGAGGGAATCAATCAATTCATGAGTGACATTCGAGGTTTCGTATACATTTGAAAACATGTAGCTTTGAAAGCCTATTTGCCGAAAAGGTCAACCATAAAAAAGGGAGCGTCAATCATCTTAACAATGTCATACTTCTAAGATCTCTCCCATCGAACACTCCAATACCAATCAGATTGGTTATTCCTTTTTACCGGCGTTTACCCCGACTGAAAATCGCTTATTTCAGTTTTTAACTCAAAGAAAGAGAAACACTTCCAGTTTCTGAAAAAATAGTAATGTACTGGTCTCGTTACAAATTATTATACTTATCGTTTATTAAACACACTAAAACCGTAGCTGCAAAGTTGTGGGCATTATATTTCATAACTTCTATACCAGAAAACCGCTTACTTTCTATTCAAAATTCCCAAGTCGTTGCGTGACTCTCGACAGGGACTGTGTTCTAAACTTAGCTGTGGGATATGTGATTGGTCCATTCAAATCATGTGACATAAGAATTTGGCGGGGAATACGCACGCCATCTTGTTCTGATTGTGTCAGCTTGGAGCTTGTGTTCACCACGAGGGAAAATTTGATTTCACTTCTTGCAATGGCTGGGTCACCAAAGGAAAATGGTACGATTGTAGTAATATTTGGAGATAATTTTGCGAAGGTAAAGGTTTGATGTGAGTTTTTTGTTTCTCTCCTAAGAACCTTTCGACGATGCTGTTGAAGAAAGAATAATCAATGAAGAATACAAAATCTGGAAAAAGAATACACCATTTTTGTACGATTTAGTCATGACACATGCCTTGGAATGGCCAAGCCTTACAGTTCAGTGGCTACCGGACGTTACTAAGTAAGTGGATGCTGGTAAATTTACCATAGAAACTTGTGGACAGATTGCAATCCCAGAGTATGAGTTAAAATTAAGGTATTTTTTAAAGTTTAGTCTGTACCATCAGTATTGCTCACATCGACTGTGCTTTATGAATCAAACCTTGAAAAAAAAAGAGAGAAATCGTGTATGCTATATAAGCGAGTGATTTCTCTCACTCCGGGAACTTAACTTGTAATTTCTTTTTTCAACATTTCAAGCCCGAAATGATTCATTTTATTCGTCCATGTAGACTTTGTGGACGACTCCAGTCGATGTGAGATTGGGCAATTTCTTTGTAAACGAAACAGTTTTGGAGTGGGTAGACTCTTAGCTAAGCAACAAATCATTGTATTTTCTGGAAAGTCATGCCCGCTTTCGTACCATAGTTTGTTCGCTAATTGTTTAAAACGTATACTTTCATTTCCGGTGTGATATACTGGTTCGACTGTTCAGGGGACAGTAATACAAAATGACAAGGTACTCTTAACGCTCTCACTGAAAGAGTCTCTATAAACATGATTTTTTTGGTAGATTCGCATTTACTACAAGCAATTTAGAACTTTGTGCATGATCTCACAGCCGCTCCTTTGCAATCACGTTAGAGAGAATTCTCAAAAGTTGTGCAAACCCTAAGCTGTGTCTCAGGTTAGCATAACTGCTCTAAATTCCCTTCCCCTTCCCCCTTCCCTTTGAGTTCTGATAAAAGAGGTTACAAATTTAACTCCCAGAAGTGATTAACATGTAACTTCTCCCTGTGATATCTATAGGTTATCTAGCAAACAGGTAATGAGAATACTTACAAGGTAGAAGTTACAATGAATATATGAAGTTCATATATTTTGAACTGCGGTATTATAGATACGTATGATGCACGATCCTCGCAGTAGAGAGTGCTATTTATGTAATAGCGAAAATCAGACCTGAAAATAATCAGGCCTGTACAGGATTCGAACCACTGACCTCTGCGATACTAGTGCAGCGCTCTACCAATTGAGCTAACAAGCCAACTGGGAGCAGGCCGTTAAGTTGATTCGTAATAAACCCGTGAAAGTGATAAATGAGATAGAATGAATATATGAAGTTCATATATTTTGAACTGCAYTATTAGATATGCATGATGCACGATCCTAGCAGTAGAGAGTGCTATTTATGCAATAGTGAAAATCAGACCTGAAAAAGTCACATTTACTACAATCATAGAAGTAGGTAGAAGTTGTTATCGTGGTCGAACACCAATTCTCATAACTAATTTACAAGAAAATGTGTAGCAGCTTGAGGGGAGAATTAACAATTAAGTCTTGGGAGTTCAAGGCTGTGCTCTAAAAAAATTTTCAGGGAGCCCTTCAGGCTCCCAACCATTCCAGCTAGGGTGCCCAGTTCTCCAAGTTGGTCGCCCAAAAATAAATAAATTAATTAATCAATCAACCAAGCAATTAATATTAATTTATTTCATGTTTTAATCAGTTAATATTTAATCAAACCATAAACTTCATTAATTCAAGCTGTTTAGAAAGCATTTAACTTTTGGTGTTGCTGTTTACCATTATATAATACACTGTCAGATAACTTCTGGCTTCCTTTTCGGCACAAACGAGTTTGACTCGCAGTTAATGGATTCATCTCCTAATAAAAATTATGTTGTCACAGCGTTAGTGATCTTTAAGCTCACCATTCTACAGCTTGAGTCATCTGTGAAGCAAGGTGATTTTATGCAAAGCAATAGGCCAAATGACCGAAATAAAATACCTCCCGCATTAAGAGATTTTCAGTAAAAATTTCCTTGTTCTTCCATTTTTTGTAAGAGAAGTGAGGGGCAAAATGAAAAAGAAAAAGCCGTACATATTGCAACTGACTAAATGTGGAGAGCTGAAATTTTCAGAAAGTCGACAAAAAATTTACTGGATATTTACCAATACAATTAAAAAGTGAAATGTTTTTATTTTTTTCTAACACTTGCAGGAAAACTGTGGGATTGTGGAATAGCTACATTTTAAATCTTTTTCTGAAAATTAAAATTTCCACACCACATGACAGAGTGTGTTGCTATTTTTAGTGGTGAGCTTGTGTTATTTTTCAAAATGGCAATTGTGTTTCTTTGGATATTTTAAAACCGCTTAGAACTTTCATTCGAAAGCACCAAAGTAAAGAAGTCTAAATATGAAATCGTTATAAACTCAGTTCTCGCAAAATCTTCCTAAAGAAGTTGCAAGTCACTTCTCACAGCGATCGATAAACACCTAATAACAAAGCTGGCTCGCTGGAAATTTGCATATAGAAAGAATCTTAGTTTGAAAGAAAGATAAACGCCCTACACTTTTCAAATCCATCGAAACACTGAAATAAATCAGACATTGATCATCTCAAGGAAAATTGCGGTGTTCAACACATATTTTTGCAATATCCGTGCGGTTTATCACGTGTGAAGTGACAGAACTATTGTTTCAACAATTATTATTTGGGTTCATGCGAAATCATGTGGAACGAAACGTAACAGTTACTTTTAAATCTTCAAACATGAACAATTTGGCTACGTGTCACGCAAAAGAATATTTTTTCTGCTAGTAACGCTTATAAATCAACCAAATGAAAATGTAGCAGTCAATCGCCAGATTTACCTTAGAGGCGAATGCTGCACAAGAGGCCAGGTGCCGGGCTGGGAGACCGGAATATTTTTTCAGCCGCCCAGGACCAAATGTTAGTCGCCTGAGGCGACGGGGCGCTGCTAGAGCACAGCCTTGGAGTTGAAGAATTAAACATGGTTCCATTGATTGAATTTAAGTAAAACTGTGTCTTTAACTGTTTTACTTGCAGGCCAGATGGAAAAGACTACTCAGTACATAGAATCATTCTTGGAACTCACACGTATGTCAAACATTTTTTGTCAAACGTATTTTTTATCAAACATATTTTTTGTCCTAAACATATCTCCTAGCAGTCTAGAGTACAGTTAAACTCAACACTAACTTGATAACTGCTGGATCTCAACTGCTAAATTTACTTCCCATGACTTACCATAAGTCCAATTTTTAGGTCAGATGAACAGAATCACCTAGTCATAGCAAGTGTACAAGTCCCCAATGATGATTCTCAGCTGGACACAAGCCATTACGACAGTGAAAAGGGAGGTGAATTACCAACTTTACCGCTTTCACCTATAATTATCTTATCTTAGACATACTCTGGGCATACTCCTTTGATGGTTTTGTGTGTATAAGTATTACTTTGCAGTGTATTTCTGGAAATTTGTACTGTTCAATAATTGTAGGCAAAATGTTTTGAATTTTTAGGATGGTTATCCATCTCTTGTTTTTATGTTGTTTTTTATTGGGACTGAGATGCCAATTAGGGCTTGACACTAACTTTTCAACTCACAAGCCAAGTGGCTAGTGACATTGTAGATGTTATGACAATTACAGTTTGTTTACTGGCCAAACTGACTAGTGGAAATTGAAAACCACCAGCCAAAACTGAACTTCTACCAATCTGTGGCTGGTGGGCTATCATTAATGTTGAGCCCTGACTATCAGTGCTAGCCTGTTTTCATGTAGTTTTTCCAAAGAAAGCATAAAGTAATCAAGGAAGGTGATACACTCTAACATCCACATGCATATTCTCTACACTGTTCTCTATACATTTCACAAGGTGCTGACAAGAAGAATTTGTTTAACAATCAAGAGCTTCTATTGGGGGTGATAATTTACTTTACTCTCTTAACCCTCGTGTGTGATTCAGGGGTGAAATTGTAAGAAGGAATTGGATGATAGACACACTCTCAGTGGCTAATGACAACTTTGATGTTACAACAACTTTGGTTTGTTCACCAGCCAAACTGGCTGGACAGGTGGAAATCGAAAAACCACTAAAATTGAATTTCTTTTAGTCTGTGGCTAGTCTGTTAATGTCGCGCCTTGAAGGAAATGAGTAGAGAACAGCACAGAGAACTAGCATACTGATGTTAGGGTAGGAAGGGCCAAGCAAAGAAGTTTTGGAGATCTAAACATCATCTGGAAGTTTGGCTTTCATTTTCGTGGTGCTTATTGTGTATCATTTATCTATGCCATTTTGTTAAAGTGCAGAAACAAAGGCTTAGAAGTTTTTTGTTTAATGTTAAAGCACAGGAGAAGTGTTGTATTATATTTCCCTTTACCATCATGAGTAAATATGTTATTTCTTAACTTCCCCTCTCTTCCACAGAGTTTGGAGGATTCGGTTCTGTTACTGGTAAAATAGACATTGAGATCAAAATCAACCATGAAGGTGAAGTGAACAGGTAAGTCATTAAATGCAGTCACATCTATTTTGCTGTTTTGTTCGATCTTAAGAAAATTGTAACTGGTTTTGATTGAAACACATTTTACAGAGGTTTTTTGTTTTTTTTTTTTTTTTTTTTTTTTTTTTTACTGTTTTCTATTTTTTTATTTCAGAGCACGGTATATGCCACAAAATCCTTGTATTATAGCAACAAAGACTCCAACAGCAGATGTGCTTGTGTTTGACTACACGAAGCACCCCTCTAAACCAGGTATGAATCCTCTTCAAGTTAGGTAAGCTTTAGTTATATGCTGGTTTCATCAAAAATATTGAGAATTTAAGGGAAATTTAGCATACAGGCTGTAACAGAAGGTTGGAGACTCGATCTTAAAATAAGAGAAACATGACTGCCTTGCATAAATTACATTGTATTTCTGATGCATTTATTGATTGATAATTTACTGCTGTCAGGCCTAAGACTAAGTGTGAATTTGATTTCGGTAGCATATTCATGGTAAAACATTCCTTTCTTTTTGTGGCCTTAATTTGTGAGTCAGGGGTGCCCTTGTGAGAAGAAATTAGATACAGCATGGTCACTATTGGGGTCAAATGGTTTAAATTTTGAGTTTGGTATTTCCCTTACAGATCCAAGTGGCGAGTGCCGTCCAGATATCAGACTCAAAGGTCATACTAAAGAAGGTTATGGCTTGTCTTGGAATCCCAACCTTAATGGGAATCTGTTGAGTGCATCTGATGATTACGTGAGTCTTTGCAAAAGAGCTGTAGCAAGCAAAGTCATGTGAAGTCAAATAACTCTTTTTGTTGTTTGGTCTATTTATGGAATTTTTTATCTCCTCAACAGACTGTTTGTCTCTGGGATATCAGCAATATAGCCAAGGTAATTAAACTCTAAATTACCCAAGTTTTTTTGCTTTTTATATGGAAAGTAGCTCACTGAATGACTGGCTGCTTCTCTTACAGCCAGACTTAGTTGTTATGTGTTATCTCTGAGAATATTCTTATCCCTTTTCGAAAAAAAAAGGAATTTGATTTCCAGAAATTCAAGCAGCCCCCATCTTCTTACTCTTTGAGAGTTTTAATAGCTTTACACTGTTTCACAGATTTTAAGCAACATTGTTTGGGGTAGTTATGGATAGTTTTGACTGCAGAATGCTCTTTAGATTTATTTCTAACCAGCTGGATCTGTGTCTAACCAGGAAGCAAAACAAATGGAAGCCCAGCGGATATTCACTGGCCACACAGCAGTTGTTGAGGTACAGTGCAATTATGTTACTTTAAATCAGTCATCTGTATGATTAGCAACCCACAACTGAACTTGCTGAAAATTTTTGGATCTAAGTTGGAGTCCTAACTGTTACCGTAACTTTTTTGTGGAGACACTGTTCATCATGAAGAAAGAAAAGTAATAGCTTTGAATCTCTTTTAGAACGATATTATAAAAGCTGGGTTGATATCAATTGTATTATCAGTGTCCATGTATATGTTTATGTTATAAGGATGGTGCAATACTTTTATTTAGACAAGTGTGGAACTACCATTCCACCAAGGAGAATTTCATAAAGCACTGTTCCTGGATGAAATATTCTTCTATCTCCAGAACTTCTCAGTTTAATGTTTGTTTGTGCAGGATGTGTCATGGCATCTTCTACATGAGAGTTTGTTTGGATCAGTTGCTGATGATCACAAACTTATGATGTGAGTACCCAAGAAAGAGAATTAAGAACACTGGAACTAGGAAAGAGGTTGTTTGAGTGGTACGGCATTAGTGGTCATCTGTTGCATGGGGATTTTTACTCATTGTTAAGTGAGCCAGCTCTGGGTTGAAAAATTATCCTTATACATGTAGTTAACAAAATTGCAGAAAAAAGCTAGAAAGGATTTAGGCTTCCATGCGATTTGAATCTGTGCCTTCAAGATACTAGTTGGTCACTAATGCATGCACCAACTGAGCTCTAGTGCCACTTGTTAGGAGGGAGGCAAATTTTAAAGAAGTCTTTTTTCTTGTTGAGTAATCTGATCACAATTGAATGAAATAAAAAATATTATGACTTACTGATTCAAATAAGATTCAAGTAAAGAAAAAAAATGCATAGAAAAAGCCTGACAAAATTCAGGCATTGATGGGATCTGAACATGTCTCCCAGACACAACATTTCTTTACCTTACTTGAATGTTATCCATAGATCAAAATATTCTTGTTTTATTTGATTATGACCAGAGCTATCATTGAGATAAAAACCTGCCTTGAAAACTTAATATGCATCAAAATTTACTTTAACTATGAATAATTCATATTTGTGACCCCTTATTAAATGCTGTTTGGTTCTACAGCTGGGATACTCGTTCAAATAACAGCTCCAAAGCGACACACACAGTGGATGCACACACAGCTGAAGTGAGTGTAGTGATGTCTGTCTTTCTATGCACCAGGGCTCGACACTAAGGGTAGCCAACTAGCCACAGACTTGTAGAAATTCAGTTTTGGCCAGTGGCTCTCGATTTCCACAAGCCAGTTTGGCTAGTAAACAAAGTGAAAGTTTTGTAACCTCTAAGTTGTCACCAGCCACTTGGTTAGTAAGTTGAAAATTTAGTGTTGAGCTCTTTATACTGCAATGAAAAACTACCTAAAATTTATTTTCCATTTTTCCAAATATCCTTTTCTAAAGCTGATTTTGTTTTGCTTGTTTTTGAATATTTTTGTAGGTAAATTGTCTGTCATTTAATCCATACAGTGAGTTTATTCTAGCTACAGGATCTGCAGACAAGGTGAAAACATTTGATGCTCTAATTTAAAGATGAAGAAGTTTATTGCAAATTAATATTTAGGATTTGTGGCTGATTTGTGCTCTGAAAGAGAGAGGGGTGTGATTTTCATAGTGCACCCAGAATAGCAAAATAAATTATTCAAACTGTAAAAAAAAAAAATCAAGAAAGGCTGCGTGCCTAATTCTAATTGTGAATAATGTATAGTTAATTAATTTTAATCTTACAATGTGTTTGTTTTTCTCTCACAGATCTCTAGCCAAAACCTTGTGTAAATCTCTCAAAGCCTATGAAGAATTTTTAAACATTTTAAAGCAGTGCAGACTAAACAATTTTCCCTATACTTGTTAGAACTATTTTTGCTCTCTTTTATATTTTAGACTGTGGCTTTATGGGATTTAAGAAATCTCAAACTTAAACTACACTCCTTTGAGTCGCACAAGGATGAAATATTCCAAGTCCAGTGGTCACCGCATAATGAAACAATCTTAGCTTCAAGTGGCACTGACAGAAGATTGCATGTCTGGGATCTGAGGTATAATGATAAATGTCTCCCTTTCCTACTGTTGTAAGAATTTAATCTACGGGTAAGTTGACAGGGCTTACTTGGGAGAAGGTCAGTGAAGCAGGCTGTTAGGTTGCTAGAGAATGAAGATAATCTTGAACAGGACTCTTCTGGGTGATAGATAGTAACATTTTGACAACTATAGTTAAAGTGTTCATCAGAGTCAAGGGCTCAGCTTTGATGGTGACAGCAGGAATGGTGTTTAAGTGTTAGTTACTGTTTGAAGGTGATTGTGATGTGATGTCCCTGGGGTTGTCAACCCTTTACACCCTGACATCAATATGCATATTCTCCATACTGTTCTGAATGTTTCCTAAGGTGCTGGCAAGGAGAATTTGTTTAACGATCAAAAGCTTCTTGTTACCTTAATATGTGATTCAGGGGTGTTATCGTGAAGAGAGATTCGATACTACTGTCACACTTAAGGGTCAAGTTAGACATACAAGTTACAGCCATCTGTAGCGGTCCTTTTTAGGACTTCATGATAATCAAGCATGTGAAGATGAAATAATTTAATGTAATTAGAAAACATCCAAGCCCCAGATTGGACTTGAACCCACGACTCTCCTTGATCTAGTCGGATGCTCTAACCACTGAGCTACTGGAGACTCTATGGTGAGCAGGGGTCAATTTGTGGGTCTCGACTGGAACCGCACCGCGCGGCTACACAGTCAAGTATTGATCAGCGCCTATGAAACTCACTGACAGACTGCATGAAAATCATAAAGCTTATTACGTATTTCGCAGAAATACATGAGATTATGTTGAAATCGAAAACTCAACCGTTTATTTTCACAAAATTAATGTTTCCATAATCAAACCAGTAAGGCAGGTTTTCTGCAAGCAGAAGGTACACTTTAGCAAGTGAAATTACAGTTCGCTTGAAATACAACAAAAACTTACAGCCTGTTTCAAACTTAGAGAGTCCAACAACGACAATTTACGGTAACAAAAACATGCTAGTACGAATACAACAGTTCTCTTCAAAGAGCACATGGTAGATTCCCCAGATGTCTACATCAAAATACTGGCATGCAATGGGAGCTACAAAGCTCTTGTGGATGATTGCATTTTGTGACTGACTGGTGCTCTCAGATTTAAAGTATTGATTGTAACCTCAAAAGAAAAAGATAGTTGTGAAGTTTGGCCAAGGGAAAGAATTGTTTGAACCCTTTGAAGTTGAAATGTTTTTAATTAGGGATAAGAAGTTCCTATGATATTTTTCTTTTAAAGCAAAATTGGTGAGGAACAGTCATCAGAGGATGCTGAAGATGGCCCCCCTGAGCTTCTGGTAAGAAGTACTCTTTATTATTATTCTTGTTGATGTTTCTGTCACCTTTGTCAGTCGCACAGCCCTGCCAAAGTTCTGGCAAATGCATGAACAACCAGGACAATGAATTGTAATGATTTTGCAAAGGTACACTGTGTTACACCAGTGTTTCCAAGAGTTTATTTCAGTTTTAATCCTTGCTAAGGTTATTATGTATAGTTCCTTACTTTTGGTTTCTCTTCAAATGTTGTAGTTCATTCATGGTGGTCACACAGCCAAAATTTCAGACTTCTCTTGGAATGCTAATGAACCTTGGGTACTCTGCAGTGTCTCAGAGGACAACATCATGCAAGTGTGGCAGATGGTAGGTGTAACACAAAGCTACATGTACCTCTTTATATTGTTAATATTGATTAAGTACACATCAAATTATTGGTAAAAATTGCTTTAAATTGAGCAAGTAAGGTATTTTAGTAACCTGATACAACACTCAGGGTCTTAAAATAACTGAGGAGAATTTGCTACCTTTCTATAACATCAAGAAATGGATAGATATTCTAGTCTTCTCGGATAAGGACGAATAAACCGTAGGCCCTGTCTCCTGCAGGGTTAGGGGTAGGAGACGTTAATTTCCCACACACGAGATTACTGTGTGGTGGATGTCCTCCCCTGGGGTGGGATGGGTGGGTTTACTGGGCCTGCAGTAATTGGCGCAAGCTGTTGTGGTGTCCCTGCCTGTCGGCGAATCTAATAAACTGATAACATGATCGAAGGTGACCCAAGACTACCCCTGAGGCCAGTTCTCCAAAGGGTGGATCATGCTTTCCAATGGATAAATTGCTATCCAAGGGATAAGTATAAAGAAAAGTTACAGCACTATCCCTGGGTTACAGAGTTATCCAGTGAATAGTGTTGTCCACCCTTTGAACAACCAGAGCTTGCTGACCACATGAAGGTTCTACATAGACTGATGTTGGTCCTGTGGAGGGGTGGCTGTGGCGTTAATGACGTGACTTTTGTTACAAACCTAACCAGCATTCCATGTGTACAGTTGACTTTTGAACCACATCGAGTCATCTGAGTGGGTGGAATGCAAAATAGAAATGGCAAGATTTGATAATTAGCTAGCTTAAAACCGACTGGTTACAGATGTTATTGCAAGACCATTTCTTGTCAGATATTGATATCACTGTACATGAGAACTCAC